CTTACAGCAATTCAGATGTTTCGTTCGAATTGAAGTTAATGGAACAGGAACGGATTGTATCGAAGCGGTAATGTAATTTGTTATGTTGGATCTAAATCTGGTACTTGTAAGAATATATTACCGTCATCTGTGTTGAAAACTATGTAATGCTTACATGGATGCTTTTTGGGACAAATGAATTTGGAGATCAGGAGTATAAAGTGTATCTGTCAGATACAAGGCAATCGAGAGCAACTGCTAAATTTCATCAATACTTACTACTTGATGTCTCAGGCCAATTCATGAGAAAAACTATAAGCAGCAACTAGGTATTAAACTATATAGGTGCAACAAAATGTGTATCAGATCATGAAGAAATAAAGATATTGTGTTAAAATGTAACTTGTTGTGTTTTCAAATCAAGCTAAACTGAAAGGAAATAGTCGAGGTTTTGTCGTTAAAAAGAAAAATTTTCTAGCCCTACAACACCCCCGACCCAACAAATGTTAGTTTGCTTTTGAATTACTACTTGCAATAATTGTATACTTTTTTCATTATAATTGCTTCTATCAGTATGCTATAAACTTGTATCATGGTTGCATTTTTGTACTGTTTTCTCTATGATGGCTTGGTCATTAAGCTTTAAGACAAATAAGCGTTTAATCAAAAATTGTCTCATCGTTTCAATGTACAATTTTCTTGTTGATCAGATATTGTTTACTTTCATCGTCTTATTTTCAATTTTGTTTGGCAGAGCGATGCGAAGATGGTGGTTATATTTTTCTACTTTGAAGAAAAAATGATTGCATTCGTTGACTGCTTTTGATGACTTCAATTAATAGGTGTTACTGGCGACCGATGATTAAAATTACGTGTTCAAATGATTGTTGTTTACAATACGCAGTATGGCTTTCTTTCATCTTTTGATTTTCAGTTTCGTACGCTAGTTAGTTAAGATATGTATTTAATTTACTGTGGCCTAAAGTGAAAACGATTTTTTAAACTGATTTAGGACAAAATCTAGTAGTCTCCACCAGACTCATTTGCAGTAGTAGAAAACGTCCTAAAATATAATTGGCCAGAGGAACCGGACGGTGGAGAAAGATTCTGCTGAGATCTTCAGATAAACTACCACACCGAGGCTTACGTATGAACCTCGTGCTTGAAGGCGTGGTCTCTGTAGGGTGAAAACTGAGACGTGCACTGTGTAGGTTAAACAACTAAAAACGTCCACAGTGTTTGTTGTTTAAAAAAACCCCTTAAGCTAGTAACTCAATGGGGACTTTCAGTGACCGATCAAGTCTTGTATTTATTGTTGAAAAACATTAGTAACTCAATTGAGACGTCCACTGTTTTCTAAAGACATAGTAACGCAAATGACGTTCATTGCGTTGTTTAAAAACACCTTAGTAACGCGATTAAGACGTCCATTGTGTTTAAAATAAATCCATCCTCAGTCTGCCACTCTAGAATGGTAAGTGTGGCCGAAAACTCCGAACAGAAAACCAGCCCAAATATTTTACAATTTACTGGATCCGGACCTGCGGCGTTTCCAGCATCGCGGATACTGTTGCCCCTAAACAAACTAGAGTGGTTGGACTGGTCCTTGGCCTTTTGACAGGGTTGTTTAGTTCTTTAGTTACGAGTACTAGCCTTTTGAAAAACAGGCACTATGTACAGCACAGGAAAGATTCGTTTGTTTTGAACCATGGGTGTCTGCATGAGCAACACCAGCGGACTACTGGAGACGAAGAAGTCGGGACCTCACGCGCTAAATCCCCGAGGAGAACACCCTGCTATCGCCCGTACAAACGTCGGGGTCCCCTGTGTCAGCCTGTTGACTCAAGAGACCATCCACTATGTCTTCAATCCGGACTTAGTGGACAAGGAGCAATGTTGCTTTGGCTACAGCGAAGTACCCGAGACTGTCCGGAGGGGGCATTGTCCGTCCATGTTCGCAAACGGAGAAGAACATCGTCGTAAGAAAGCCTTTTTGATGGATGTCTTGAAGGAATGTAAGAATAGAGTCCCATCTCTTCTCCTCAAGACAATCCTGGGGCACTTTGAGGAGTGGTCCCTGCTCAAGTCAGTTCCAGACTTTGAAGACAGAGTTTATTATATCATCAGTGAGGCCTTGACTGAGGCCGTGTTCGGGACGAAGCTTGACGGGCGTCTGGCTCTAACATGGCTGAACGGAATGATCCAACTCAAAACGTGGATTCCGATGCCGGCCTACAAGAAAAAACACAACCTTGCCATGGAAGCCCTCCCCAAGCTTCTCCAAAGTATCGGGGAATCGCCGAAGTACGAAGAGCTGACCCGTTTGTGCCGACAACATAGTCTCCAGGCGGAGGACGGTATGGTGACTCTCATGTACGCCGTCTTGTTCAACGGGTGCGGGGCGGTGACAACCGCCATAGTTACCTCCGTCGCCCGCTTGCAAACCATCCTTGCGTTTGAGAAGAAGGATCTCCAAACGACGACGCAGCAAGTAATCAGCGAGTTCGGAAACATGACGGAAGAAAGTCTTGGGGAGATGAGAGAGCTGGAGAGCTTTCTGTTAGAGGTTCTGCGCATGCACCCGCCAGTCTTCGACTTCTGGGCTGTGGCGAAAAAAGACTTCACGGTTTCGGCGGGGAAGGTTAAGGAGGAGGTTAGTTATTAATTAACTGTAACTCTATTTGTGACTCTAGTATTTATGACAGATCTTCAGATAAACTACCACACCGAGGCGTACATGTATATATAAACCTCGTGTATTGTGTGGTCGGGAATTTAATTTTTTTTTATTCCAACATGTAATCACCAGACATGGTGACGACACACTCAACTTATATTAATGCCACCATCAACACATGGGACAAATACATGACAGGACAATACTCATTTACACCTGAGCTAAGTGAGGAAAGTCGTGTAAAATGCCTTTCCCATGACTCGAACCCGGGACTCTTAGTTCCGAGTCGCGCACTCTGCGCCGCTACGCCACACGACCCCACAGGAATTTAATTTCACTGTAGGGTGAAAACTGAGACGTTCACTGTGTTGTTTAAACAACAAAAAAAAAAACTTGGAAACGTAATTAAGACGCCCACAGTGCTTGTTGTTAAAAAAACCCTTTAAGTTAGTAACTCAATGGAGACTTTCAGTGACCGATCCAGTCTTGTATTTATTGTTGAAAAACATTAGTAACTCAATTGAGACGTTCACTGTTTTTTTAAAAACATAGTAACGCAAATGACGTCCATTGCGTTGTTTAAAAACACCTTAGTAACGCGATTAAAACGTCCATTGTGTTTAAAATAAATCCCTCCTCAGTCTGCCACTCCAGAATAGTAAGTGTGGCCGAAAAAGTCGAACAGAAAACCAGCCCAAATATTCACAATTTACTGGACCTGCGGCGTTTCCAGCATCACGGATACTGTTGTCTCTAGACAGACCAGAGTGGTTGGTTGGACTGGTCCTTAGGCTGTCTGTTGACAGGGTTGGTTGCAAATGCTACAATGATAGCCTTCCTTGCTAAGATGAGACCTTGAGACTTCGACCAAGGTAGCAGCATACAGTATTAATGTGACGCGGGTATAGAAAGTAGTACAGAGAATATTCTTGAAGGCTGGGTAGAAAGCCTAATAAGAGCGTCAGCCAGATGTAAATTGCACTGTATGGTGTAGGAATGTATCGGGTTTGAGACTGTATGATTTAAATTGTAAAGGTTTTGCAGTTCGTGTATAAATGCGCCGTATTACGAGTCGGCTGCAGTTCAGGTCACTTCCGTAGAGGGCGATTTCTAAGTGTACGTTACGAGCAGATACGCCGACAGGATTTTTTGGTTTCTCGATATTTTGTAGTTTGTACCTTCTTCTCAAACATGTTCGATTTTCATATTTGTGAAGTGCACCCTACTATAATTTTTACCGCGTCGAAGTGAGTCATCTTGGGGTCCTTAACTATAGAAATCTCCACAGGGCGAAAACTGTGTTCTGCTACCACTAAGTGTTGCTGTTATCTGCAGGTTCGCCAGGGGGAGCAGCTGCTCGGTAGTTGTTTCTGGGCGCAGAGGGACGTCTCGGCGTTCCTCAACCCGGGGCTCTTCAGGTGTCGCCGCTTTCTGGACGATGAAGAAAAGAAAAATCATCTTGTATTTTCTCATGGAAGGTACAAAACAATTCAGTATTTTTTAAAATTAAAACATGCAGAGAATGTTAACATATATTATTTTCATAACTGATGTATTCTAAAGGATTTTTTTTTCAAATAGCAAGGTCATCAAAATTATATCATTTCTATATTTTCTCTACCCAAATACTAGTACCACGTTATTCAAATCCTAGTCTTATCTTAAAATAATATTCCAATAATTTGCATAATTAATATCAAATCAATCGTCATCGAAACTATCAACATACCAAAAGTCATGGCAATCCGTCAAACCCGGTTGAAATTAATCTCGTCCAAAGTCTTAAACCAAATTGGCCCTTGCAGTTACATAAAGACTGCTAGGGGGCTTGAATTTACACTTTTTCATAAGCTCAAAAGCTACCTAAGTTTGAGAAATCATGATCATAGCATGTCCAGAACACGAGATATTAAATCCTGAAATCCTGCTGTAGGATTTTACGAAGCCAATAGGGGGCCTATAATAATCTAGTAGTGATTATTTCTTCATTTTGCCTTGTACTCTTCAGATTCTTGGAGGCAGCTAGCCTGGACAACCACCAGTGCCCTGGGATGGGCATTGCGTTCATCCTGATGAAAGCGACCCTAGCGGTTTTGCTGTGCTACTGCAGCTGGGACTTACAAGACATGCCCGTCTGGTCAGACATGACGAGTCGGCTGGGAAAACCGGACCAACTGGTCTGCTTTACATGGTTCCACTTCCACTCAGCTGAGGCCAGACGTGCACTGGGACTGTAGGAAGACATTCGATGCAATTTCAGGGTGGAAAAACGTCTTGATCAATATCCTTAAGACAAAAATGTGACGTCGTGACAGAAAACGGTTGCTTGTTTTGTATCATATCATCCCCCCCCCCAAAAAAAAATAGATGCCTCACGTATTGGGGATGCAATAATAGTGATAATAATGATATTAAGGGAGCAACCTTTATTGTTTTAGTTTCTGTCATCAACGAATTGTGTAAAAACACCACATACAGAAGCACATAATTTAGATCACAAGGCACAATGATACCTGTTCTGTCGACACTCACGACACAAAAAACAGCGTCTAGTGTTGAAATGCCTCCCTTTAAGCCCCACAGTCACTGTCACCTGTAAACAAATTAAATCAGTGTTTTGAATTGCAAAGTGTAACACTAAACCATACTTCCTCATAACTCCTTTGTGGGGGACACACAAGTGAGGAAGTTCTTATAAGACGGTGTTAGGACTAGGGACGTTAGTTCGGGGATAGTTTTTATCCGCCGTGAGAGTTAACTACAGAAAGATCTACACCTATCTATTATGTTTGTTACATTTCAGGTAAGGAAACCTCTTTATATTTGCAGTGGATTTGAAGCATTTGGAGTGCGTTAGAATTCGTTAGTGCGATTGTGGGCCGTCAGCAAAAATACATCCATACATGTAGCATAAGACATTAAAGATTAGCACAGCAAAGAGGACCTATCTTAAATTTCTGTTTATTGTGCTGCATACGAGAAACACGAAGGGTCTCTGAGGTTAGTTCTCAGCCTGTAAGGACAGATTACATGTCGTACGACCTTCCTACGATCACAAATTGAGGTCATCCTTGCGGCCATCATGTGGTATCAAAATCTGTCTCGATTCTGAAAGCTCTGTCCTTTGTCGATGGTTGATTTTGTAAGATTCTGATTGAAAATTATACGACATTGAAATCGTACGACGGCCTACTATGGGTATGGCTGCGCCCATAAACACGACATGTATCGTTGGTTCTTGAACACCAGACTGACAGAAGGCTTGGTCACAACCCGCCTTACGTGTACGTGCTTCTGCGTGCTGTTTACGTGCAAAAACGTGGGCAAACGTACGGGATCCGTAAGTGGTGAGTACCGCCTCCGTACGGAATCCTACGGATTTGGGAGCACGCAGACACGCCGTAGAACTTTAAGTGCATGTAAAACTTTTTCTACGTGCGGTCTGCGGATTCACCACCCGTGCGTGAGAGTACGAGCGACGCGCGAGTCCCGTACGTACCGTACAGAAGAAGCACATGTGAGTACGGCCTTCTTACGGTAAAGTTGCAATCGCACAGAGATAGTACGTCGTACAACTCACTTACCACTCGCGTAACGAACGATGCACGCAACCGCTCACGGCCAGACGTGGCGTGCAGACCACACTCTTACACCTTGCACAACCGTGCGAGTGACGTGTGTAGACGCCACTCCTTCCACACGTTTTCAGAAAAAACGTAGCAGACGTGGCCTCCCAAAAACGTACCGACAAAAAGCACGTACGGCGGGTTGTGACCAGGGCTTTAGACACTCTGCTAGGTAAACAATATTCAAAGACAAAGCAAATTAAACTACCGGGAGATGGGTAAAATACTGACATTACTTCCGAACGTCTCGAATGACATTAGTTATCCTTCTTCATGAACGATAAATTTGTTCATTAGAATCTTTCCCAAAGTGAAAGAGAGGGCAACACATTTGTATACGCACCTTTTTTTGCCCCCACTCATACAAAAAAACAACATTTATACAGTATATACAAGAACGAATGTACAGTAGACAAACTATGTAATTATGTTTCCAAATGTTTCAAAAAGAGAGAAGAAAGGGCAACTAACAGTAGATGATAGATAGTTTATAGTATTATTGTAATGTATAGATTCCTACCATTTTGCATTAGAATATTATAGCATACCAGTATGAAATACTCATATGTTTTGTATACTGGATATCCTCTTGTGCATTTAGCCCATCTGGGCAAGAACATGCAATAAAGATTCATATCATATATACATTTCAAAGTCAACAATGTATAGAACTATACAAATCCAACAATAAAGTAGTTAAGTTAAGCATAATCCAAATAATAACATATGAAAGAATAAATCATGTTGAAAATTTGTATTTGAACATGAAGAACAGTGATTGATGTAGACGTAAACAACAGGTACCTGTACAGGTTATGACCTCGTTTCTAGTACTAGCTTGTTGTTTGTTGTAGTAAGGCCATGTTGATTTCATTATATGGATGACATCCACGCGCGCATGAATTTTCGGCCGTTTCCAAAAAAAAAAAAGTTTTCAACCATACTGTAAATCTTGCAAAACAGTTGCTAAATGAGCAAATATATACCATAAGTTGCAAGGAAAACATTTAGAAACGATACCAATGTTGTAGAATGCCAAAATCAAAGGAAAAAAGAATGTAAAAAAATGTAAAGAAATGAATTCGAAGAGTAGATTATTCGCCATAACATATTCTGTGCCATTTGTTCAACCTTCAGAACCACGTAGATTTCATAGTGAAAGCAACTTTTTTTTTTTGCAAAACTTTTTTTTTATTCGCACGCGCGCATCAGTTTTGG